TGGCAGGGCTGGCAGCTGGGGAAGCCCCAGAAGCCGGGCAGGCAGCGGTCGCACTGCCGCCCGTACACCCCGGGGAAGCAGTGGCACTGGCCTGTCTCCGCGTCGCAGAAGGCGTTGTAAGAGCCTCGAAGATGGCACTCGCAAGCTGCAACGACAATGGGACAGCGGTCGCGTTTCCGCCGTTTCTCCCGGCTTCGGCAAAGCTCGGCCTCGAGTCAATGAGGGTTTTGTCTAAGCAAAAGGGCCCGAAGGATCAGCCTCAAAATCGTACGAGCGTGGGCGTCTACACAAGGGGTACTTTACACTGGATGTCCTTGATTATAAGGGACAAAAGACACCTCAGAGAGCACCATGCAGGCGAGCCTTAGAGTCAGCTCTTCCCCTCCCACCACTCCACACCACCGCTTACGGGCAGATGGTGGCGAGTCCGGAGTTAAAGGTTTAACGTACACCTGCATCCGTTGGGGCCAAAGCCAAAGGTGCCGGGAGCGCAGCGGTCGCACTGTCTGCCAACGACGTTGGGGCGGCACTGGCACTGTCCTCCGCTGGGGTCACACACCGAGCTCAGCGAGCCCTGAGGGTCGCACTGGCACGCTGAGCGGACAAAAGCGTTGGGAGAGGTGAGCGCCACCCTTCGCAGCACACGACATCATCACCGTCACCAACACCGTCATCGCCACGCACACACGCACGCGCACACACACTTCCCTGGGCAAGCCACGATCTGGAAACACCACCAAGTTTCCAGATGCGGTTTGCGCTACAAGTCAAGTCAGCGGTCACATACACAACGCGGTCTCATGTAAGAGAGCAGAAATGCTGAAGATTATGTTCTTGCAGACATCCGTCATGGGGGTTTTCACAACGCTCCTGCTGTTCTCCAGGCACCGGTATCTTTGGAAAGTTTCCCAAGCGCTGTTCGTGACCACATCTTCGCCTGAGCCGCCCACTGTGAATATGTCCAGCGATTTACAGTACGGCATGAGAACGAGCTACGAAACAATTTTCACAATGACAAAGCATCACTATTTATAAATATCTTCCAACAATTTTGTGAAAATCCACTATTATCCCACTTCTTATCATCCTTTTTTGCCCCCCCCCCAAAAAAAAAAAAAAAAAGCAAATAACCAGACAGAATTTGGTAGGGAAATGACAAAATTTTTACACCTTTTTGTGGAATAGTTTCTAGTATCTATCAAATTCTTATATTTTATTCTTTCAGAAAAAAAGTTTGATATTCATAACATACATTGCACACATTACCCTTTCCAAAGAAACTACTGTAAAAGTTCAACTCTGTGGAATTGTTACAATCCTGTAAAATACAGCAAAACCCTCTTAACCGAAAGACAACACACGCTTTGAGAATGAAGAAATCTACACTGGTTTAAACTTTCAACTAAAACCTAGACTTAGCTATAAGCGACAACTTTATAGAACAGATTCCTTCGGATTCACACGGACACTTTCCAGGAGAGAAGCCAACATGCAGAATTTGAAATACCTCTTTCCATCAGGGCACCCCCAAAATAATTTCTACTCACAGAATCAATAAGCGTGTAGGGGCTCTCCATCTCGGTATCGACCGAGGAGTACTGGGGCAATTCCAGGCGAATCGTGTAATTCAGGCCCTTTTCAAAGCACACCGGGCGGGGAAGAACTACGTATCTGGATTGGGAATAGGAAACAATTCTTACTTCCAATGTTCAGCACCATAAAACTGTTTAGGTGGCCCTATAAAGCAATCGAGATAAGAGAAAGCAGCCAAGAATGGAGGGAACAAACGGTTCAACATGAAAGAGGTGGTTTGGAGGCCTGTGTAAATCAGAACCGGAAAAGCTAATCAGCGATGGAAAGAATCATACCAACATTCACTCGCAGGTTGTGCAAATACTGATTTTTTTTTCCACTTATTGAGTGAACAAAACAAATCAGACAACCAGAAAAAAAAAAAAACTTAAAAGCTTTGCATCTACTGGCACAATATTAAATATACATTTAAAGTGTCTGACACTGAATTTCACTAATTTTCATAGAGGAAATGGCAAACTGAAAACACCCTGATGCTTATTTGTTGCAGCTGGACTGACATTAGTTTGACAAATTCATCCAACAGGGTTTGGATGCCTCATAGCTGCCTGCTTTTGACGAATTTGCCATCTGGTGATTTTTAAAAGGTTTTCTCTTTCGGGCCCGTCCACCTATACTGACCTGGAGCCGGGTGAGAGCGAGACGACCTGAGTGTCATCATCAGGAACTGTGTTGCCACATCGGCTACCCGCGGGGATCTTGCCTGGCCGCGACACGCTCACAACGGCTTTTTCCCACTGATCCGGCAACTGGGAAAAAAAAAAGGTACCAGCATGAAGCGAAAGCCGTAAGCTGCGGAGAGCATCGAGAGCGTAGGCCAGGGAGAGCGTGAACCCGCGTGCGGTGGTCATTGCGCATGCCAAGCTCCAGGCAAGGATTTGCTCTTCGCCTCCCACCTCAGAATTATCCACAGCCAAAATCGGCTGCTTGCAAACTCCTGGCTGTGAGCGTTTGATATCCAAGACGGGCAATTTGCCTCCTAAGTCACGTAACCGTTCTCCTCCCCTGTCTGGTTGATGCCAAATTTATAGTGTAATCTGCCCTGAAGGGACATGTCACTTTTTAACTTGCTCATTAAACAGTACGCGTACCATCAGCACAGTTAAAACAACACAGTGACAATGGAAATCAAAAATCGCAAAGCAAACAGTACTAGCAATAGTAACAATCTCCTTGGATTTTCACGCATTTTGGACACTCCACTGAGCCCCCGTCATCATCCTCGAGCTCAGGCGCTCCAGGAGGAAGCCCCAGGGCACGCGCCGGGACAGCCAGCACCGCCGGGAGGCCACCACACTCAGACCCACCTGCGGCTCGTAGCGAACCAGGATCTCATACTCCATGGAGTAGGGGACGTTGTCGATGTAAAACTCCAAGTAGGCCCCCTCCGGGACTCGCACAAACCCGACGCCAGTCCAGGACGGCGTGCGGTCCTGCGTGTATTGCCGCTCTACTATGTTTACTCCCTACAGTGACAGGGAACAGAGATGATAAGTTAGATGTGAACATTCCCAGGGCAGCAGCAACCCAAAGGTACCCGAGCCCCACCGGAGCGCCTGCCCCGGCGAGTCGGTGTCGATAGCTCATTCTGGACGGCTACGTCCATCGTCTGCATCCTTGAGAATACAGACTCTCTTTCAAACACACGCGCACGTGTTTAAACACCCTGTTGCCCTTCTGCTTAACAATACAGTGTGAAGAAGAAAGACAAAATAACGTAACGCTGCACAGCTCTGTCCATTCCTTTGTCATAACGGACAATTACATTTCAAACCTTGCCGTGACTAACTCATTGACCAGCTATGACATTTAGTTCACCCAAAACAGAGGTATTATGGGTGCCAATCCAGGACGCAACTGATGTGCTATAATGACTTGCACGTGCTACTTACAGCAGTAGGATTTACATGCAGTGGCATATAACTCACTGCTATGCTAACTGCCCCACCTGAATGATAATTTCTTCCCGACTAGACTGTGCCGGACCAAATCAAACCACTGATCAGGGCAACGTTTTAAAAGCGGACCCTGGCTATCAAGAGTAGAGCGTCACTAAATAACAGACATCCTAATTACCTATCGACATCAAACATACCAAATCAATATATGACTGCTCCTCTCAGTCTGAGATACTGTTTTGTTTTTTAATCTGCTATTCTTCATACAAAGCCATTTAGAGGAAAAAGGCACAAGAACATGCAAATCTTTGACACCCAAACTTCCTGTTTCAAATATATCTGTGTCCATTAATAGTTCCCTCCATAAAATAACATCCTGTGCATTCCTAGGGGAACTGTTTCAGCAGAAAGGGATAAAATGTATGGAAATGTCAACATATATATCGCTTCAGGATGTCCCTTCGTGTATTCCCACACTCTTTGAAGATAGCCAAGCTATAAATTATCACCCTTTGGCTCTGGACAAAGGGACAGACTTCCCAGAAAAGACCAGAGACGGGATGTGAAAGAGCATGCAGATTTCAGGAGAAAATGGAAAGGACGCCCTTCGTTGCGGTCCACGCTCTGCTCTACCTCGTCTTTGCTCTCAGCATTTACCTAACAGCAAAAACACTCTGCTTGGCCAAAACTGCAGGGCGACTGCATTTTGCCTGAAATAAATAAATTAGGGCAAAGTGCCCCAATTAAAGGCAGACTAGTATCTGCTGCTTTACAGAAACCATTATCTCATCTCCACGTCTCCTTGCTGGAGGCCGATCTAATTGATATCATCACCTAGCTGCCGTTCATGAATTAAAAGCAAGGCTGCACGCTCATTTAATGGAAAGAGCCAGAGACCCTCACGTGTGGGACCAGTGAGCAACATAAAGCAGAGGTAAGCTCCCTTACAAAACCAGTTTTTTTCCCACAATCAGCTGTATTTTTAGTCATTAATAAAAGAAACCCCACTGATGTAGACTCCAAAACAGATGGCAGCGTGCTTAAATGTCCTCTCTCCAGTTTCAGTGGCAACAAAGAGAAGAGCCACTGTCGGTATCTCAGCACACTTGAGATAAGATGGAAAAGAGAAGTGAGTGCATATGCAATGAGATCAAGAAAGGAATACAGGCAGGAAACCCTGCATAGTCAGTGATCAAAGAAACAGATTGAAAAAGCAAAATTATAGTCTTTCCCCCTAAATTACTGCATTATTTATTGATACTAAGCCTGAACAGCTATGGATGGACAGTTCTCTAGATATAATTCAATTCTGTGTTTTTTCCACACTGCCTTTGCAAAACAATCAAGGTATAAAATGAGCTCTTTTCAACACCCAAATGGCTAAACAGAACTTTTCCACGCCGGTCCTGCCCGGCATATTAAAACTGCTACTCACAGGACCAAAGTTGGCTTCCTCGGCCTCATAGATGTAATGGTCCAGCGAAATAAAGTAATAGCCGGGCTCCACTTGGTTGCACTGACGTCCAAACATGTGGGGCCGGCACTCGCACTGGCCGGACTCGCTCGAGCAGCTACAACGGAAGAACAGTGAATTTACAACACGTCTTGGCTGCGACGAGGCGCTGCCAGAGTCGTCTCCAGCTCTCACGCTGGAAGCGACACGAGAGAAGCGGCACTTCTGAACACAAAGCTACGCCTACGCTACTATATTCAAGCACATCATCAGGACACGCTCTCGGGCACCGCAGCGCGACCATCTGCGCTATCAAAACCTCAGCACGGCGCCAGGCAGGGTTTTGGCTCATCCCAACCACCACCTCCCAAACAACCCCTAGGCCCAGGCTGGGAGCGAGCACGGGCCGGGGACCGTTTCCAACGGGCAGTCTGCACGCGGCTTCCTCTGCTCGGCTGGCCAGAGAATTTAATACCAGGCATGCAAGGTGTTCCCCGGGGCCACAGAGCAGTCCTGGGCCAGCTTCATCTACCAACGCAGATCCAGCCCACGGACTTCGCTTTTGCATGGGACCAGGCACAATTTTTCATAGGCTTTTTTTTTTCCCCTCCAGCAATTAATATCCCTCCCTGGGAACTCATGTTTGCTTTAGAAGCCTTTTCTAAAGTCAAAACACTCCGGTTTCCACAGAAAGTTTCCAGGCGTTTTAAGCCTACAGTCTAAGTAGAATTTTTAATTGAAACCATTTTTGAAATTACAGAGATTCACTTAGACGTTCTCTTTTAATACAAACGAAGCTCTGGTCATTTCAAAAAGGAAATTAATGGAAAAAAAAAAAAAAAAAGGTAATTTTATAAATACTTTTATTCTGCATGTGAGCCAGCTTTTAATTCTGGAGCATGCTCACAAACCTGTACAAAAAAAAAAGGGAACGACAGGCTCCAGCTCTGCTCGCTGCTGCGCTCAGCTCTGCGCTTGCAGGCTTCCCCCAGCTTCCTCCAAGACACAAAGCTCTTCTGGGGAAAAGATGCCAGGAAGCGTCCCAGCTGCCCCAAAAGGGAGGCTGGGAGGTTATCCCTAAAAGGGTTTGCCATGTTTTTCCCAGGAAGGTTTCCCGCGGGGGTCACAGTCCCGCTGCCCGGGTACGCTTCCGCGGCTCCCCTGGGGACGACGACGACGCGCAGGCGAGCTGCGGCTGCTGCAGGTGCTGCATCCCAC